CTACTATATATATATATATATATATATATATATATATATATGTCTTTAAATCGAGATGATTTTTCAACATTAGAACAATATTTGCCAATTGATTTTTGAGGTTTCTCACTTTTATTGTATAAGGTTGATATTTTATATAATTGTTTTTTGTTGAAAGGGTGTGGTTTCTATAAGGTTGCAACCTTAAACAATCCAATAAAGGCACACCTCCAAATTTTATTATAACATGTAATTTTGGTGTTACAAATTTGTAGGACAATATAAAAATCTATTTTTATATCTAATTATAAAATTTAAAAATCCAAATATAGTTAAAATCGAGTTGATCTATTAACATAAGAAAATCTTGAAAATGGATGGTCTAGATAATGTGTGTATTTTTGAAATTCAGATTTTTGTTTTTCATATTCATACATCTCGATGTTGTTGGGATGATCAATTAGAGGGTATTTCAACATTGAAACAACATTTTCTGATGGATTTTTGAAGTGCATATGTAATTTTACATCTTATGTTTGCAACCTTATATAAACTTTTCCCTTTATGAAATTCAACACAATAAAGATACTTTGCAGGGTGAGGTTTTGGTGTGCTAGCTGATACACTTGTTTACGTTCCCCTGCCAAAATCCATTTTAGACCTGGATTTTGGATCCAAGATTTGAAGTTGCCGACAACGGCAATCATGACTATGAAGAAGTAAATAAGTTTTTAACTTTAAAAGTGGTATTTTGATTCTGGGTTAATACTTTTTCCTACTGTGAAATTACAAGGAAAAATCGAGTGGCGGTCATGCATTAAACAAGTAATGCAATTCTAATTTGAAGTTTGTTACCTCTGAAGATTATGGTCTCATTGAGGGTATGACTCTTAATAGAGTAGAGCCGTAGACCAGGTTCATGTGGCCGATTCTAATTAATTGGAAAAAAGCTTTGCTGATGATGACTCATGAAGATTAAAGGCCGTATGTATTCATGTTAGTGTTTTGAAATCAATATTTCATTTGCCAAAATTGTACTATTAGGCAACAGGTAATACATGAGATTTTTAGGGCACGTTTATTTCTCAGGAAATATTTTTACATAAGGGCTCGTTTGGTTTATGCGTAACACTTTGTATATGTAAAACAATTTTCATATGTAAACAGTTTTCTATGCACTACTTTTCTAATCCTGTTTTTTTTCTCATGTTTGGTTCACATGGGTAATTAGTTTTTGAAATTCTTGTGTAACCAATTTCTTATATTTGGTAACCCATGGGTAAACCATCATAGAAGTAAGGTGCACCTTAAGATCTAGAAAAAAGCTGTTTCAATTTTGAAAATCTTCAATAATCATCTATTTCTTTTGAACATTAAATCTTCAATAATCATCTCAACTTGGAGATGTATGAATATTGATGCAGGTACCTTACTTTGGCTAAGAGGATTCTCTAACACCTGCAATTCCAAAAATGTAGGGTCCAAACCTAGCACCTTCCCAGGCTTAAAACCCAAACTTTTAGCCCACCTAATACCTGAACATAGTCATTCTAGGCACCCTCAAGCCCAACAAATACTGAGAGACATCCCACACAGCAATCTAACATCTAGAAACTTGAAACTGATACCTTACATTCCTATAATTGTGGACCCATCAAAACTTATCCACATTGGCCCAAAGTTTGGTTCTAGGTTGTAGATGAAGTAAGCTTTCCAACGGTATAAGAATCACTCACGATTTAGAAGTTATGATTAAAATAAAATTGTTTATAAAAATATTATTTTGATCCCTACGATAACTTATCTGTCTCACACGACCCAAAGCTAGCAATGCGGAGTTTAGCACGCTTGCAATAACCTTTTCCAAGCAGGTTTTCCAAGAAGCCTCGACCCTACTAGGGTCATGTGTAACCCATCTAGGCTCATACCCCTATAAACAAACTGAAATTCTTTGGAAATGCCTATGTTGATTGCCCATGCCCCCCACGTAGTGCGACTCGACTATATTTGCATACATAGTTGTCGGGCTATGATCAACGGCTCAGATTGAGTCTAGTTGGTTGAGGGTAGTAATAGGCCATGGTCCCTATAAAGTGACATTTTCCAGGTCATTCTAGGGTTGTGAACCCAGACCGTTTGCCCTATAACCTAATCCTGCCTAAAATATTCTTGGCCCTCAACCCTAAAGACCCTAAGATCGACCTAGCCCTAACCCTAGGCTCTCCAAGTCCCCTTGAACCTTAGTGAACTCATCCCATCCCTCTTAAACCTTAAACACTCAAAAACATTAAAGGTTGTCTATGGAATACCATGGGTAAGCCCTACACCATTGGTCCACATTCACCTCAAAGGCCTCTCTACCTCTAATCAATCTCCCAATAGTTGACTCATCTCTCTGAAAAGACAAAGGGAATGGTCCACCTGCGCTGACTACTCTCACTAAAGCCCCAACTTCAGGTGTCTAGCCAATAGGCCTAACTTACAGGCTTATCTCATTTTCTCTTTTTTCTTCATTTTGTTTAATTTCTTTGCTTAGTTCAGCTTCCACTCTTTTTCTAAAACTTTGTAGCAGGCTCTCCCATGTTTTCCAAAATTTTCTTAAATTTCTTTATTTGGTTTTTGGCGATCTTTAGCCAATGTGGTCAGTGGACCACAAAAGAGGAGACCGTCAGCTCGACCCCATTCATGGTGCTAGTCTCTACCCTCTGACGATTTTAGTTTAGACAAGGATTAAGGTGCAGGAATCTCATTCCATTCGCCCAATTTGGGATATAAACAATTAAAAAAGGGATTTCATGCCTTAAAACCAATACACTTGTAATATATTATTTGAATCGACGTCTATTTTCAAGATTTTTAAGTGTTTATAAATGTGCTTGATCAAAAAAAGATTTTATGCCCTAAAAACAATATCATATTGTAAGCAATTCCGAATCTCCATTTTCAAGTGTCTATGGATATACTCAATCTACACAATTTATGTAATATTGAATTTCATAACTAAGGGTGAATTTAGATTTTTGAACCATTTTAAGGGCTTTTGGCAGTGGAAATATATATTCCAATAGGGTTGGAAGGTGCGGCTGACTTTAATTATTTAAGATTGACACCTCGTATGAACCCCCACCCTTTATATATTTTACGCAAAATTCCCATATTTTTGTAGTTTTACTTTGCCCAAACTACTCCTATTCATAATTTCAAGTTCCAAACCAAAATAGTTTTTTTTATTTTATTGACAACAAAAAGTAATCCGAAAGTTCAAGTTTTGAAACCACTTTCGAGTTAAGTCTTGAATTGTAAAAAGAAAGAAAAGAAATGAAGATTGCATTTTGAACCCAACACACTTGCAAATTGTTTCAAAGTGAATGCCAGGCGTGGAAGTTCAAGTTATGAATCTATTGTTTCACCAAAATTAAATATTTAAAAAAAGAAGATGGTATATGAGACTATTTATCTTTGTTACAAGGAGGTCAATTACTTCTAATGATTAACTTTTTCTTTCGAAGCAGGGGTAGTTCGCTAATTTTTTTTTAAAGAAAGTAAAAAAAGAAAAACAAAAACTTCAAAGTGAAATACAAAATAGGGGGTCCTCTTTTTAAGGAACAATCTTGTTCGTAGATTTTCTTCTGAATTTTTTAAGTTTAAATGACCAACATACCTATTTTCAAGAGTACTAGTTTCCAAACTTTTACACAGGGTAAAAAATAAACAAGAAAATAACTGACCATTTTATATCTAAGTGGTGGAAAGATTATTGGAAGATCATGGACTAAATCATCTTGGTTAAAGTTGTACGACTGTATGATCATCTTCGGTATACTAAGCACATGGGTGTTTTGTGCACACGTCTTTGAAGCTAAATATAGATATAATAAGGTCACATGGTTACACATCATATGTCCTTTATTTGCTAAAACTTCCATGAAGCTTTCATTTATTGTTAGAAAGCTATTAAATAAGAGAAGGGTGCGGTTTGTATAGAGCCTAGGCTCTAAACAATCAAATTAGAGTCTACCTTCAAATAATGTTGAGAAATATAGTTTCATTATTGGAAATCTTTGTGATAGTCTTAAAATATATTTTTATATTTATTTATAAAATTCAAAGCTTCAAAAATAGTGTAGATCGACAGATTTATGAAAACTTGAAAATCTTGAAAATTGACGGCCCTAAAATACGTTACAAAATACACTATTTCTAAAACTTGAAATCCATTTTTCTTCTCATGTCCATACATCTTGATGTTGGGACGATCAATTTGAAGATATTAGGGCATCAAAACAACCTCTTCTAGTGAACTTTTTGAGATAGGCTCAAATTTAATTGTTTAGAGCCTCGGCTCTATATAAACTTTTCCATAAGAGAAAGCCCCTAAATATATGTTATTATAAACATCTATCAAATTTTTAGAATATCACATTTATGCCTTTTTTTTTCATCTTTTGTGATTTTATTTTTCTTAAAATGCCGTCGTTGTGGACCTTTAACGTAAAAAACGAATAAAATTCTTGACTTCAGACCTCGAAGTAAAATACACTATCGAACAAAGTGCTCTCTCATGCCCTTCAAAGTATGAAGTGTGAAGCAAAATTGAGAAGAAAATTCAAGGAGCTTAGGGATTTGAATGGTAACTTTTATTGATCGTCCCTAGATAATTGAAAATATTGGAGATAATATAAACCATGGGTTTTATTAAAATCTCCAAACAAGGGTTTCAAACAAAGTATACAACTAAATATTATTAAATCAAAATTTAAATGAGTGTTTTTACAAAATAAATATATCCTGACGTGTTTGATAACCGGAACTCTTAGGTTTGGAAACAGTATTATTCCCTGTTTGTAACACGTATATGCGCGCGTGTCAGGGAGCCCATTTATAAATACCTATTAGGTTTCACCGGTCCTCTCCCCATAGTCCAGAGCTTGCTCACTGAGAACCAGACCTCTCTCCATCATCGGCCTTGCTCGTCGAGAACGAGCTCCTCCACATCAGGGTGTGTGTGTGTCTCTCTCTCTCTCTCTCATTTTCATCTCTTTGAGCAGCATCTCTACTTACATCATCTTTCTCTCCCCACTCTTTTCTCTATTTCTAGACGTCTCCATCTCTCTCCCTCCGTTTTCCGTTGTCTTTTCTTTTATTCTCTATTTTGTAGAAAATCAGCACGTTAATAGCAATGTCTCTTTAGAGGATGAAATAGAGATTATAAAAACATCTTCTAAGATTGCTTAAAAATCCCAATACATTGAGAAATTAGGTTAAGAAAACTCATCAAATAAGAATGGAATGATTTTTCTATTTTTCAGGTATTTTCAAGTCGTTTTTGGAGTTTTGTAGATTGGGGGTTTCTTTTGCCATTTTTACTTGTTTTTATATAGTTTTCCTTTGTTTTTCCATTGCGATTTTTCTGGGTATTTTCAGGTATGTCATTTTTTTAACAAGTTCTTTTAAGCTATCTGTATGACTTTTGTGCTACGTTTTTGCAGATTTTCCAGGTTGTTTCCCTCTATATTTGGGTTTTTGTTATGTAATTAATGTTTATGTTTTGTTTTGCAGGGTTTCTTGTGTGTTTTGAAGGTATTGTCATTCATTTGTGCTCTTCTCTTGGTTTTTTTTTTTTAATTTTTTTTTTGGTTTTGGGCAGTTTTTTAGGTATTTGATGCATAAGCAGCATAACTTACTTTGTTTTTTAGAGTCTATTTTGGGGCGTTTATGTAATTGTCATGTCCTCTCTGCTGAGTTTATTGGGCTTCTCTGTCCAGGTTCTTTTGGGTATTTTTTTTTTTTTTTGAGAAATCCTTTTGGGTAGATTTTTTATTCAGTTTTTCTCTAGTTTTAGGTTTTTAAGGTATTTTTCTACTTATTTCTTAGAATTCACCAAAGACTCATGAATGAAATATGAATTTGAAAATAGAAGGATAAGAAAATACTAATTCTAGGGTCAATTGAACGCAGGTTCCTAGAATTCCATGCAGATTATCAAATACATTCTTTTTATTGTTTCCGGACATCAGAATATCATAGTATCCAACTTCAACTGGTGTTTTGTATAATAGGTTTTCAGTTTATTTTTTCTAGATTAAGATTTATCTATGAAGACCTTATTACATTATTTTGATCACACTAAAAAGTATTCCCTCATAAAATCTGCAAGGGTCTTAAGTTTCACACTAAATTTTCAGATAAGTTGGTTCAAAACTCGATTACTTTCTTTTTCAGAACACTTTAAATTTATTAAAAAAGTGCTATTTAATAAAATTTATAATCTTGAATTAATAAGTTTCTAATGATACTTTCAGTAAAAATTAGTTTTTGAAATTTATAATTGAGTGAAATTATAATCCTTAAAATTATAAATTTTCAAAACCACAGGTAGTTATGCAAACTTGTTTTAATTTAAAGCGTTATTGAAACCATTATATATGAGAGAAATTTCCTAATTTTTTACATTGAAACCATTATATATGAGAGAAAATTCCTAATTTTTGCCATTACTGTTCTGATACATATCTAATCTATCTACTCTAGGTTAGGGTTTTTGCAATCTGCAACGAAGGGTTTATGCACTCTGCGACGAAGAAAAAATGGAAGCTATCCAGAGAGCCAGTAACATTTTTCCCTCCCTTTTCAAAACAAAACCCCTCAACTCCTCCCATTTTACGCAGACTTTCATGGCGAGGTGCTTGGCAAGGTACTTGAGTACTCAAGCAATGCCCAATCAAGCAATGCCCAATAGTTATCAGAGGCCCAATCAAGCAATGCCAAATAGTTATGAGAGGCCCAATCAAGCAATGCCCAATAGTTATCAGGGGCCCAATCAAGCAATGCCAAATAGTTATCAGAGGCCCAATCAAGCAATGCCCAATAGTTATCAGGGGCCCAATCAAGCAATGCCCAATAGTTATCAGAGGCTACCTAGCCATGGTGATCGAGTTTTCCAGAGTCCCAGTCAGAGACCACCTGAACTAGTGGATAACATGAATCAATTTCAAGAACCTAGGGCTTACACTTCACCCATGGAGGATTTAATCAAATTTTGCAAAGAGGGAAAGGCAAAAGAGTCTATTGAAACTCTGGAAGCGATTGAAAAACAGGGGATTCAACTGGAGCCAAATATGGTCTTTGCGATTTTGCAGGTATGTGGAGATTCAAAGGCTTTAGAGGAAGGTAAGAGCGTCCATGACTACATAATGAGATGTCCTTTCAGGAATTTGTACATGTATAATAAGGTCATGGAGATGTATTGTAAATGTGTAAGCATGAAAGACGCACGCCATGTGTTTGATCGAATCCCTGAAAGAAATTTAGATTCATGGAACCTTATGATCAAGGGCTATGCATCAAATGATCAAGGAGATGAAGCCCTTCAATTGTTTGGGCACATGAGAGGAGCAGGGGTGAGCCCAACCGGGGAGACTTTTGTTTCAGTTTTATTGGGATGCAGTGTTTTGGAATCAGTAGAAGAGGGATTTATCCATTTTGAATCGATGGAAAAGGATTATGGAGTTTCTCCTCAAGTTGAGCATTATGCAGGAATGGTGGAGGTTCTTGGAAGGTCGGGCCATTTAACAGAGGCAGAAGAATTTGTTGACAGAATGATGACTCCACCGCCAATTTTAGTATTGGAAACATTGAAAAATTATGGTAGCATTCATGGCGATATCGATCTTGTTGATAGGGTTGAAGAGCAATTGATTGCTTTTGACCCATCTCGTGAAGCCCAGAAATCTAATGCTCCGAAGGTTCTTCCTCCGAGAAAGAGGCTTGGATTGAACATGCTTGAGGGGAAGAATAAGGTGAATGAATATAGAGCTGGAACCAATCCTCAAAAAGGAGAGGCTTATGAGAGGCTCAAAGGTTTAAGTGGTCAGATGAGAGAGGCTGGTTATGTGCCTGATACTAGATATGTACTTCATGATATTGATCAAGAGGCAAAAGAACAAGCTTTGCTTTATCATAGTGAGAGGTTGGCCATTGCTTATGGACTTATTAGCACTCCTGCTAATACCCCGTTGAGGATTATCAAGAACCTTCGTGTTTGTGGGGACTGCCATAATGCTATCAAGATCATGTCGAAGATTGTTGGGAGAGAGCTCATTGTGAGGGATAACAAAAGGTTTCATCATTTCAAGGATGGGAAGTGTTCATGTGGTGATTATTGGTAAAAAGAATGAATTCGGTTCTTCTTTAACAACTTCCGTGCTAGTCAGAAGTAAATAGACTTTTAGAGTGAGCTGTTATGGAGTCTTTTTCCCTGAAGACATTAAACAATTGGATTTGGCAATATGGTTGGCTGGTATGATCTATGAGGTTCATCTGAATTTAGGTCAATGAGAAGGATTCCTTCCACAGGCTAGTTGAGAGTGAAATGTTGATGTTATACTTGAGGAAGGATGGTATGCTTGTTATGAACTGTTGAGCTTTATAGATGTTATATTTATGTTTTAGTTTTAGGTTGTGCTAGGTGAAATTCTCTCTTGTTGATGGAACAATTTGAACTTTAGATTATTCTAATCCTTTTCTTCCTAATAATATGGGGGTATACTGTCTTATGGTTGATTGTGAGATGCACTTCCTCTCTTGTCTACTCTCCTTCTCATAGAATAGAACGCACTATTGTGATGTATGCCGAAGAACATAAGCCTGGATAGAGAAGAAGGGAGCAACAATGATGCAAAAAGATATGTTTGCCTAGTAAAATTATACAAACTTCATGTGATAGATTTGTAGCATGCTCTATAAAATTATACAAACTGCATGTTTGCCTAGTAATATTAATTTTATGCAACATGCTCTATATGAGTTTATGGGGCATCCCCTGTAGATATGTAGTTTTACACATATATACTTGTTAATATTAATAGAAAGCATTTGTCTTTTTTTTTTCTTTTTTTTTCTTTTTAAGTATGTAATCCTCTTATGGTTCAAGTTTTGACCCTTGTTCTTTGGTAAGAGGGAATTCATGACCAGATCTTATGACTTGCAAACTTTCATGGTTTGATTAGAAAATTTTTGTGCCATCGTTGATTGGTAGGATTATTTGTTGCTTGTCCACCAAACTTGTGTGATAATCAAAATTGATGGCTTACATTTAACACCCTTGTTCATTCTTAATAACTAAATGCTAAAGTTACACAACCCTTTTTCCTCTTCGATTTGGTGAACTTGATGGAACTTGTATGGATCATTATATGAATGATGTTTGAAACATCTTTTTTCACTTCCCATGCTATTTGAGCAATTTTATCAATACCTCAGCTAACCGAGTAATATTTGATTGTTACTTATGTTAGTGGGTATCTTAGGAAAAAAAATTCCTTGAAGGAGTAAACTAGTATGTGGGCATGGAGCTAACAAAAATGGGAAGGACTGCTTTGCATTCTATCCACTGTCTAAACAATAAGGTGCACTGCAATCTGGTTTACCATGTCTCTCGAGAAAGACTTACGATTATCTCTTATTCTACTTCTTCAGACACATTATAAGCTGGCCAGCGGTGGCCTCTAACATCCACCCTGTATCCCCTAGATGTACCTTCTGGCTATGAAAAACTAGCTTAGCAACATCAGCCTATTCCAAAAATATTTGGGGTGACCTTACATTAGGAAGACATATGATGGATGATGGTGTTCCTTTGTCTTTCTTTTCCCCTTTTTTCCCTCAGATAAGTAACAAAATTTATTAAATAAATAATAAAAGGTACAACCATCGTATATAGTCTGGAGGTAACAAGATGTCCTCCCTATGTAATAATTCTATCTACACTTAAGAGTTATGACTTGTGCCATCGTTAGTGAAAGTATTGGCTGCTGAACTGGCAACCTTAAGATTGTGGCAAACAGATATTCCTTTGAGATCACCAATTAAAAATCTCCTTAAAAATCACAGACAACCCCTGTTTTTTGCCCATTTTATCAATTAAGCTTTCCTGTTAAACTGCCACTGAGCAAGGGGGGAGGTCTTGCACTAGCAAGAAGCACTTTGACTTGTGCCATCAGGGAGACTGATAGAGATGTGGCCTCCTCTGCATCTTAAAGGATGCCCCCAATCCCACTTAGTGCTGATTATCACGAGTGCTCCATAAATTAAACTGGAGAATACCAGAGTTTGGATTGGACTCCCCTGCATCTTAAAGGATTCACCGCATCCCACTTAATGACAGTTATCACGGGGGCTCCATAAATTAAACCTGAGAGAACCAAGGTCTGGAGGAGATGGGGAATGGGTTGATCACCAATGAGAGAATGGCAACTCATTTCAGTCCCCAACAAATCCCTAGTTCTGTAACCCTCATTTCATCACATGTATAGCTCAGTCAAAAATGTGTTTCTGATCTACCTCCATGCCAGTTCTCATCCCTTAAATATGTGATTATTTCACTTCTCGTGAAGTCCCCAAAGGACGGAGCATGCAAGTTGCCATAGTAAATAACTCTCTCATTAATAAACTTAGTGGTAGTGTTACCCTTAAACTCCTGCTTTGAGTTTTTTGTTGATACATGTCGACACCTCGTTACACTTGTGTATTAAAAATAAATTGATATAATGCTTACGTCGGAGTTTGAACCTGTGACCTGTTATCAGCAAGTTGCATGGTCTACCACTCTGTGAAGCTCACATATGTGTTAGAGGTTGAACATTCTATTATGTTATCATTTGAACTTGAAATAAGAATTGTATGAACATGTGATGCCATATTACCTGTTTAGGCTGAAGTAGACACCTTTGTCTTGGCGTTCATGTCATTGACTAGAGGACCTTCTCGTAAACTAACGAACTACTTAACTTGGGGCACTAAGCCAGAGAGTTCTTATATGAAAACCCAAGCCTGGCTTGTGAAAAAATGTGAAAGAAAATGCTCAATTGATCCCATAACTTTATCTGCTTTCATTTTGCACATCTCCCAAATCACTTGTAATGATACTGAGTCCCTCCAATGCCCCTTTGCAGGAAGTCCTACTCTAGTTTCTCCAATTGCACCATTTGACATTGATGTCTTAAATGAGGAAAATAAAGTGTATATGGCTCTCTTATATCAAAAAAGGAAAAAAAAAAGTCAGGTTGTTGCGTGAGGTTGCCTAAGTTTGCCTGGTGTAATGCACCCCTTCAAAGAGAAGGGTTGGCCTTCGTGTGTGGCCAATGTCCTCTTAAATTTCTCCACCACTATGTCTCTTAGCACAGTGGGCTATCACTGTAGTAAACCTAGATGGTTTCATGGGGTATCACAACGATTATTGCCTCATATTAACCAACTCCAGTAAAATTGTTTTGGAGAGCTGATACCACTCCTCTAAATCACATCACTCTTTTCAGGACCTTCCTTTGCAAGACAGTTTTCCCTGGTTCTCAACATAATAGCACAAACTTAAAGATTCTCTGCCTAGGTGACCAGCACATTGCCCAAAAAAAATTAAAAAATCCAAGTATTCTTTACAAATTGGACACAAGATAATCCCAATCATGTGATTTAAAACTCGCTGAGTTGACTCGGGAGTCGACTGAGTGCACTTGACTCGGGCATGTTCCAATTTTTATTCATGTAAAACTCAGGGAATCCTGAGTCTGTAGAGAGGCTGTAGGGACTTTCCGAGTCCATGCCACCTTGTTTTAAGTAAAACCTGTTGTCCTTAAACCAAAATGTAAGTTTCTATTCTGGGTGATTACTTTCTTGTTTAGAGGGTAAGGGTGGATGCTTGGACCTACTTTCATCCCATTTCCCATTGCGACACTTTTGGAAGCTGGAATTCCTCAAACAAGATTTGTGAGTCCCTAAATCTCATGCACATCCTAGCAAGATTTATGAGTCCCCAAATGTCACGCTCTGGCCCGTGCAGTGCTGGGCAATCATTTCCAAAATTCGAGACTAGGATTTGAAGAGTATATTAGGCTTATGTGTGATTGAAGAAAGAAATTTCATGATCAAACACCTTATGTGTCTCCAAATATCAGGTATGTAATTTTTTTGCTTTTTTTTATCTTTGAATATTTTTTTCCACAAAAGACCTTTGGAAGTAGAGAGATCTAGGGTTTATTTTGTAGGTAATGTATTTTTGCGCTGCCTTAACCAATTTTTGAGAATAGGTCTTAAATCATTTAAAAATTATTGAAATATAATTATTTCTTTGATATTCTCTATTTTTATAGTAAAGTCTTTTTGTTACTAATCTCTCTAGATCTAGGGTTTTGGATAGAATCAGAAGAATTTTTTTCATCTACTTTTTTCATCATCTATAAATCGTATCTGTCCGAGGGAAATTAAATCATGAAGCATAGCTGACAAGCTCTAGATCTTCAAGGTGTTAGCATAAAAAAGAATTCATATGTCTCAATGTGCTCCTTTTTTCTTTTCTTTTTTTTTTTTTAATTCTTTTTCAATTTTCAGAAATTTTCCATATATTTCTTACCGAATTTCCAGGCACTTTAGAGACTTGCCACAGGAATTGTTGTGCTGACTCGGGATTCTGCCAGCTGAGGAGCTAGTCTGTATTTTACCTCAGACCCTTAATCAACCTCACTCCCCTTTCTGCAGAAACTCTGATCATATGATTAATGCCTCACACACTTGGGAAATGGGTGAGAGTTCTCCTGGTATTAAGCCTCTCAAACATCATTAAGAACCTTTCAGGGAGCTATTCATCAAAAAAGAGAAGTTGGCCATACACTGGCGGCATCCCCTACTTCAATCTACACTAAGGCCCTGTCCTCATTATTTAAATTGTTTGCACCCTTGTTCTTGGAATAAAGGTGACCCTTTCCCTAGCATTTAACTCCTCAAATGCCTTCATAATTTCCCTTTCGATCCCATCATATACTGATAAAAAACACAAGTGGAATCATCATGGCCTTATTGAATGATAGATATTTCTTTATTAGTCCTTGCAATTCATCAACATTCCTTTTTCCAACTATTTGTGGTCGGCTGCTTGGTCCACCATTCAGTTAGGCCATAAGTCCCTATATCTTTTCCCAACTATTTATTTATTAGTCCTTGCAATTATTAGTAGAAATTCTCTCTTTTTCTCTTGCCTTTAATTACTGCAACGACTTAGGAGGTAGAATTTGCCTTCTCAAAATCGAAGCTAGTTCCTTTTTGCAAGTTATGTGATGCCACTGCCCCTAGATCACCCCTTCTCTCTTCTCACATATTCTTCCTTGATGATCCTAGGTACCATGATATTTCCTCTTGAAGTTTGTGTTGTTTTACATCTTTTCTGCAGTTGGTTGGAGTTCCGCACCATTCCAATTGTTTACATGTCTTTAGTGGCCTTCAATGTTATCTTCTATTGTGGGTGTCCTCAGTGTTTCAAAAAGCAATAGGTGGCACCTAGGCGGTTGGGGGGTCCATGTCGCCCAGTGCCTAGGTGGGTGCCCAGAACCTGGGCGGCTCATTAGAAATTTTTCTTTTTGGGTTTTCTCTCTCTAAAATAGGCTCTAATGGGTTTTAGGTTTCAAATGAACCTAAAACCCACACTTTTGCACCTTTAGTAAAAAATAACTCAAAAATACCCTCAACGAGGGCATTTCTGCCCTTGGGCAAGGCGCCTAGGCGGGTTCAGGCGGGCGCCT